GGGCTACAAGCCGGCGCTCGCCGCCGACCTGCTCTAGAACTACACTACAGCCAATTCTTTCAACTGACTAGTTGAAGCAACAGTTGAACTTTCAACATTTCAATGGTTAAACGGTACCTTGACCTTGATTGAACAAAGGGGTCGTTTGACATCATCAACAAATGTTCTGATTGTACTATTGGCCAATGATCTCTTGCAACTCTAAAATGGTAATTTTCGTCTTATTGTTAGGTTTAGTGAGTTAAAAAGTTGATTTCAACTAGTAAGTTGTATTCAAGTGAAGATATAATTGATATGACCTTGAGAATATAACAGTAGTGTTTATCAATATTGCATTGTGTCAAATGTTAATTGTGTGGTAGTTTTCCTTGGTATATATAATCTTACTGATGATTCTAAATGTTTACTTCGAATAATTTCATATAGGATTCATTACTGCTATACTACTACTACTATACTGTATGTGTTCAGATGGGACATTGTTTTTGACTAAATATTATTGACATTCCAGACCATTCCGTAAAAATCTAGTCTTGTTTCCTTAAAATTATGATGAAAATCTGTTATTTACTAATAAGTAGAATATTTTGTTATATGTTTTTTTTTAAGTTGTTTACCTTTTTATTATTGTACTTGCCATATTTTTTTTAAGTTATATTGTTTTATTTATATGTTTCCCTCTTTATAATGTTAGTATAAATTGTTAAGCTTTAGCGACATGTAATAAACAAATGGCATTCTTATTAAAATGTAGTTTTAAAACAAGAGGTTTTTATTACTAGTAGATAGTGACCTTGAATAAATATTCAAGGTCAGTATACAAATTAATATGACATAGGACTTATCTAATACAATTTATTTTATCAGAACCGTGATTACACACTTGTTGCTTGACCAAAAATTTTAGGAATGAAAAAACCTTTTCTGTACATTTAATGATATTTATTACGAAAATAGTCTGTACAACATAGCCGTGAGGATTATCAATCTATTCTAAATAATGTTAATATTAAATATTCAATCCCGGTCATTCAATAGTTTCAAATGCACTTTGTCAGAATGGGAGTGAATTATAACAAACATGAGTTCTTCACTGTCTTTACAAAGAGAATAATAGATATTTTAAATGTTTTGAAGTAAATAAAATCAAAGAAAACCTTGTTAATATTATAAAACATTACAGTAGATTTTACTGGCACATAAACAATGAGTCCTATTACAGTATTTTTAAACATTTTAAAAATAGCTAATATTTTTTAAAATGTCACTTGTGTCCTAGTATCGAAACATATTTTCTTGGAAATGTTAAAAACTACACAATACAGATATCTGAGAAAGTGAAGTCTTTGAAAGTCTAGAGTAACGTTTTAAATTAAATAATCTTAATATGTATGTATATTTAACATTCACATTTTACAAAACAATAGACACATTGGTCACTTATAAACATATCTGATATAAGTGTTCATAAATGAATGGAACGACACAATAAACAATTTCAGACTTACAGATTTGTGGCCTAAAGTTAGACCACCCAGTGTTATTTTTTTAACTTTTCATGACTTCTGACATAGTAGTCCTTACAGGGTGTATTCCCTTGACCGATAAAAGACTGGGAACCCCTGATACAAACCAATGACCTCTTAAGTATACGTATTTTAATGTAAAATATGAATACAGTAGGACCTTGATAAGTTAAAGTCCAAGGGAAACACAAAATATTTTAAGTTATAGAGGTTTTAAGTTATCAAGGGTCTATATTGTAGAGGTTAAGCATTCTGTTGGGAAGGGAACATATTATTTTTTGAAGTTAGAAGTTTTTAAGTCACCGAGGTATATATCTACTGTATAAGGAATTTAGCACTTGACCACAATCCAGTATGAAGTGATAAGGTGGTAGAAGATATGCGTTAGTTGAATGCCTATTTACTCCACTTCAAGGCATCCATACCATACTTTGATGGAAAAACATTCATAAAGAACAAAATACATCAACAGACAAATTTGACAATCAAAAATATGTAAGTAAAAAGCTAAGAACTGCAGGTAAATAAGTAATGCATGGATATGCACTGTTGTACAAAGGTCTAACAATTTCTAGTTGCTTTCTTCGGGAAAATCATTTATGGACATCCTAGTTCTCAGTAAAAAACCAGATACAAGGTAAATATTTCTTTTCTTAATAATAATGTAATCAAATGCAACTTTAATTCAAAAGATTTAGTTAAAGCAAATTATTGAAGGTGAATGATTAAAAAACAAAGTAACACTTATTAAAACAACAGAGTTAAACAACATTAACAAAATGTACAGAAAACGGATTTCGATTTTGTATGGTAACTTGGGAATTAGAAAAATCTTTAAGGCACTTATCAGAACTCGGGAGAACTGTCATCCAAACATTTGATATTGTCACTGATGTATATTGGTTTGGGTACATGTTTATCTTCCACATCAAAGCAAATTAAATCCTCATGTTCATTGGTTTTCTGTAACAAAAACATTTATAGGTTAAATTATCTAAATTGTGTATGTGTAAATTATTTTTGAAATGGTAAATGTCAAATAGAATTGAAACATTGAGCTATAGCTCAACGACTAAATTAACAACCCACAGTTCGATGGATTAATTGTGATCCAATGAGCTCATAGATTGCAGATCACAAATTTATGACTGTACAAATTAAATGCAATAAAATGCAATCTGGTTCACTGATTTACTTCATACATATGAGCCACAAGCTGATCGAGATATCATTAAATTTGACACTTATGCATACAACAATTATGCTGAAAAGGGTAACTATTAAATTTTCAACATCACTTACACTAGTTGATGGTCCATCAGAACTCTTTCGGAGTGCCGCTGCATAGTTCAGCGATGGCTTTGTTGAAGTTGATGCTACTACAACTGGGCTTAAACTTATCTCATTACTCTCATTTTCAATGAATTGAACTGAACTTTCACTATCAGAAAGATTGCTATTAAGAAAGATATTGGGAATACTCATGATGTCCATGCTAGGAGGTGATTTTAAAACATCAACGCAAGCTTCAGCCATCTCTACCTCCTTATCTATTAGTTTTGCTTCCATTTGCTTGTTGTATGCAGCTTGTAAGTCCAACATATGTTTATCAGATAATATACCAGTCATATGTTTTATTTCCGCTTCTAACTCCCTGATATCACTTTCATTTCTTGCAGCAAGCTTTGCTTCACTTATCATTTTGATATCCACAGCCTCCTGCATATGCAGGATTGCATTATTTGTGTTGTTATTCTGTAAATTACTTTCACTGACAATTTTATTGAATATGCTGTGAGGTGAAACCTTCGGAGCCTTCTTATACCCTGTTAATTTCTCACCCAAATTAGCTGTTACATCTTCAACATATTCATACATATTGAAGCAATTGATTTTGCCAAATCTGTATATAAATGTATGTGTTGAGCCAGATGATGAAGTTTTTGATGATAAATTGCATGTAACAAAGTTTTTCCTTCCATGATACTTTTCAAAGTATTTCTGCAGTCCTCTTGATATTAACTTATCCCTAAATGTAGGCTTAATACTACTATTCTTTCTATATTTATACCAGCCGACAATATCACTTGCTGTACTTGAGAGTAATTCTGATAATATTTCTTCTTTTATTTTACCTGTAGGGAAATAAAATAATGCCACCGATGGTAACGGCAATACCGTTCTTATGAATATTTGTGTATCCAGTCGTGCACTGTCATTTTGAGAATCTGATATATGGTTAGTTATTTCAGATGTTACATTTCCGATCAAGAAGCCTTCCTGTAAACACAAAATGTTATTACCATAAAATAAAAAAGCACTATTCAATCCAAAATTAAATTAGTATAAAGTTTAATAATAACATACTTGACTGTTTGATGAATTAACACACTCGTATAATAGAAACGAAAGAGCGGTCCCATTAAGGGAAACCTTTTCTGTATAAGCCATTAGATATAGGGAATTAAACTTTTAACTTAATATGTAAATAAGATCTTAAATCATATTTATCGAAAGTTATTCTAAATAACACTTGTATTAACAATTTAAAGATAAATCAAAACATTCCTTTCCTTTTGCACGCACAAATTATTTTTAATGTCACTGTCATTTTAGTTGACCGAAGTTATGCCATGGAGTTGTGCCCTTATTTAGTTGCCGTCAGCAACAAATTGGAGTAAACTGAAAAAACACAAAATACCATGGCTCTTTGTCTGTCCATTTATAAAGATTTCAGTGCTTTCAAAAATTTTTCAAGTTGGGTTTTATAAATATCGTTATCATAACAGTCTATATCGTCTATGTCTATGGAAAGTACCATGGTTTGTCATTGGTCGTTGTCTATGGTTTGTATTTCTCTTATCTATTATTGAGGTATTGAATTGAGACAAATATTATTGATATAATTAGAAAAGGTCTCTTTCCTTAATAAATATTAATAGCGACAATACGGTTTCATGATATTTGTACACTTTTTAGACATATAGAATGTCTGAAACATATGGTATGGTTTTTGTACTTTTTATTTTATACTAGATATGTTTTACTAGATTTTATGTGGGATATTATATTATTTTTTCAATCACTTTCAGAATACTTGTTCAAATTCTTAGTTATAGGCAGCGCCGGAACAGGGAAGTCGAGCCTTCTAAATAATTTTATTGGGAACAAATGTAAGTATGTAAATAATTTACAAATATTCATCGTGCAACAATGAATGTACTGTACTATGCATAGGTTGTGCATGTTTTCTCTGTTTTTGTAATCGTACAAAAATTTATAAACAAATATCATAAAAACGAAAAATTTACTGATGTGTCTAGTGTCAAAAAAACCAAGAAATTTTTCACCTTTTAGTTAAAGAAGACAGATGCCATACGATTGGCGTTGAATTTGGGTCGAAAATAGTTAACATCGGCGGTAAATCGACGAAATTACAAATATGGGACACAGCCGGACAGGAGAGATTTCGATCTGTTACCCGATCATATTACAGAGGAGCTGCTGGGGCTCTGCTAGTGTATGACATCAGTTCCAGAGACTCATTCAATGCCCTCGCTAACTGGCTAAGAGACGCACGCACACTCGCAAGTCCAAACATTGTAATATTACTTGTTGGTAACAAGAAAGACATTGAAGAATCTCGAGAAGTGACATTCTCTGAAGCTAGTCAATTTGCTCAGGAAAATGGTAAGTTATTAGCATAAAAACATACAAATGTTTAGTAAATCAGTTAAATAATGAGGATATTTTATTTCAGAGTTAATGTTTCTAGAAACCAGTGCTAAAACTGGTGAGAATGTTGAAGAGGCTTTTCTAAAATGCTCGAAAACTATTCTGGCTAAGATAGAAACTGGTGAATTGGATCCAGAGAGGATAGGCTCTGGTATACAGTATGGTACTAGCACTTCAAAACGATTAACTGCACCTAAGAGACCGGTCAGGGCTCCATCAGATTGTGCTTGTCGTGTTTAATTCTCTAGAGGCTGAATACTGAAACAACATTTAAATAATAGCTTCTAAAATAATAAGTTCATACTCTGAACTCTAAATTTTAATATCTCATCAGAATTTAATGTATGAGTGTGGAAGGGTACACCGGTAGAAGTAGACCTAGAGAGAGATGGATGGATTGTGTGAAAGGTGACACGATCAAGAAGGGAGTGCAACTGAGAAGACATGATAGAGTTATGTGGAGGATAAAAACCTGTTACGCCGACCCTACGGGACTAGGATAAGGAGATGATGATGAACATAAGTAGCACATACAAACCAAAATTGTTTAAGATTTGTTTTAGTATTTGGCAATTGTTCTCTTACCCTCCTTTTGTGATAGGTCTTTGATGGCCCGAGTGAAGTAGCATTGAGACTGTAATTATATGATTGTGACTTAGTATTCATCACTAATCCAGATATCTTATTCTGATTGAAGGCCTGAGATATATCTGAAAATTAAAAAAATTTTATATTGCTAACTGTTGCCTGCGACTTCGTCTGAGCAGTGTAAAACTACTCATCCTTTGGGAACCCGTTAATTTTTTTTGCCAGATTTCAATAAAATATAATGAACTGTTACTGAATTATCAGGTAAACATGAAAAAACAGAATTAGTGTATCTTACTAGAATTGTAACTATTATTGGGATAAAAACGTTAGTCTATGTGTTCAGCTATTGAGAACATGTATGTCAAATTTAATTGTGAATGGTTCAGCAGTTTAGGCTACAAACATCTATCCATCTAAACTTTCGCATTTGTAACATTATTAAGATTTTATGAAAATTGTAAAATAAAGTAAAGTAATTTTAAATTGTTGGCGAGATAATTATTGGATTATTTTGAAGCTGGAAGCTTTAGCATAAAATAAAAACTTTTTCTTAAAGAAATTTAATCTAAAGCTTTTTATGCTAACCTAATAAATTAAAATATTAAGGCTTTGAATTGGAATAAGATATATTAGATGTATAAGTTTATAAGTGATTTAGTCAAATTAATATTTCTTCTCTATTTCAATGAATCTCTTTTAAAAATTTGCTTCTTACACAACATAAATGTTTGTTTTGTTAATGAATATTGTTTTAATTATATTTAGGATAACTTATGATGCTAAATATTAGGTTAAGTTAGTGACAGGCATATATAATATGCACCATTAATGACTGTAAATGATCTAAGAACTATATTTGTAATCTCATAGAACACAACTTTGGTTTAAGAACAACTTGTAATTTCATGCTTTGCAAATGCACTTGTTGAATAAATTAGTTAATCAAAAATCATCTTTTCATTGACCCCTTAAAACATCCATTTTTGATACAAAATATTGAACAGAATAGGTTTATCAAAAATTTAGTTTGCCTTAAAGAAAATATTTACCAAATATAATGTCGGCTGGCGACTGTATTGCAATGGTGCATCGAAGGGGGGAGGTCATGGGGGTCGTGACCGTCGTGTCAATCTCTTTACTTGACCACGACTATGTGACCCCCCTGGCGCCACAGCTGAATCCGCCCTTGCTCTATCGGTAATTTAGGGTGATTTACAAGTTAGTGAAAAAAGGTTGACCAATAAATAAAAGAATTTTATTAACCGGTGTTTATTGTTTGTAAAAATTTGAGCAAAAACAAAAAGATAAAACATTTCAATTTGTACATACAAAAAATATATTTTAGAATAAGTACCACATTTGAATGATGTTGACTTAAGTAAGGAACAGACATTACAAGCCTCTGAAACACTTTATCTAATTACTTTAAAATTTTATTTTGCAACAGTAGTGAATATATGAAAAGATTTTTCTTTAGTCGTAATGTCCATTCCCACCTATTGTTACAAATTTAATATAAATTACAGTGTTAAAATAATTAGTTATTTTAGTTCGATACAACAATTTTGTTATTGAACTTAGAAGTTTACTTTGTTGAATTACCACAACAATTTTATTAAGTAAATTTGAACATAATGTAACCGTAATGTATCCACAAAATAACACCGCATTATTAAAAGCAACACTGTTCGTTACCGAACAACATAGAATTATGAATACATGTTACTTAACATAAAATGCACCTATTTATATAACTAGGAACTATGATGGATGTTATTTATACGATTTATATGCTGGGGCAAAACTATTATAACAAGATTTATAAAATATAACCAATAAATTGCCAATTTTTAAAATTTAAAATTAATATTATCACTATTTCTATATCAAGAATGATTATGGCAGAATACAATTAAGATTTACGTCAGAAACGAATTTTAAAAAAAGAAATATCCAAAACATAAACAATTCTACAATATGTCCTAGTTCTATCACAGTAAAAACATTAAAACACACACTTAAGTCTCCTAGAAAACCAATCAGATTATAAGACTTGTTGGAAATAAGTCGATAATTAAATTGTTTACAATAATTAATACAACTAACGATTAAAATTAATTACAATAGAAACCTGACAATCAAAATGTAATAATTACGTACAGTTGTATTCGCTATTTGATGATCCTTACGTGGAATGATCGAAATAATGATACTAATGAGAGCACTCGGCAGGCGACGACGCCGCGGCTGAGATTCTCGTGTATTGCTGCCGGTACTTGTGGCTGACGTCGTGAACATATCACATCCGACTTAGAAACTAATGTACCAAAATTTTATTACACCATGTCTTGAATCGATATTTTTATGAATTTTAAATCGATTTTAAAACATTTAGAATTCAATAATGCTTCATATCGAAGTCGGATTTAACTGCACATATAACATTTCGAAAATAATAACTATCATATAAAAGTGTAAATCACCATTATAAATAAAAACTATTCAAAAGTTTCACTTTCATTGTTTGTATTATTTTCAAGTACTTTTAACTCTCCTAATTTAAACTACATTACTATATTTCTTCACGACATTTAAACTGCAACTTAAAATAATACAACACAATAAAAATAATTATTCACTGAAAACAAAATATCCCGGGATTTTCTGCGTGCATCCAATGCAAATGTTTGGTGTTTCCCGTTGAACTTATGGTCCAATGGGAAATAAATCCTATTGGACCGATCGGTTCAACAGAAAACACTTTCAAATTTATGTTCAAACTGATTTTTTTTAAATACCTTGTTTCTTTCTGAGGTTCAACTGAGAAAGTTTTAGTTATGTTTCAAAATCAGTCTTCTGATAATAAATTGAAAATAAAATTACTAGTGCCTTTGTTGATTTAACTACAAGAATTTTATGCAACAAAATGTAAGTACGTATTATCAAATTACATATAAGAATTTTCACGCATATCGAAATTTTTAAATTGACACAATTAAAAAAAAGATGTCAACTAATACAAAAGATTTTAAAGTACGTATTTTAATAACAAATTTCAATTAAGTAAGCAATCGTATTTATGAAGTCACGTATTAAGGTCTTTAAAAAAATATAAACGAATAAATTAATAATATTTAAGTAACAGATATATGAATTTTAAAATAAAAATTATATTTCAGTAATCAAATGATTTGACGGTCTCACAGAAATCTAAACGAGCACACAGTACAAGTTACTAACTAATATCTTACTAAAAAATTTTGTAACACGCTCTGGGGCCAGTGAGCTCTCGCTATTCACTGAAAACATTACTTATCCAACTTAAGCCAACATATCGTCACCCTAACATAAGCACGGTAAATTTAAAAACCTTATCCCCTAGTATTTTTTAAAATAATCTAACGCCTATTGAAGTTGATTTTAAAACATTTAGAATATTGTAAGACCAATTACGAATAACATTTGTACACAAAAATGGTTCTTTTCGTTTAATATCTAAATGTATGAAATTTGTCTAATAAATAATTTCATATTAACTATGAATCACAACAAAAAAATACTTCTATTTAATATACCATTATCTATATAAAGTTTAAGGCGAATTGAATATCAGAGTTATCAGGCGTCAGATATTTTGTACTAGCAAGATATCTCACAGCTATATTTACGCGCATTTCATAAAAAATATAAGAAATATAATATCGATGTACTTTGCTGGAGCTATCTTGTGGTATAATGGTGGTGGCGTGTGTGGCGAGTGGTTGCGAGTGGGGGCGAGTGGTGAGATGTGGTGAGAGTGTTACGCGACGCCGAGGCTCTGGCGGCAGGCGACGGCGGCGACCAGCGCAGCGCCACGACCACTACCATCTTCTGATAACATCAAGTCGAACTGAAAAAGAAACATTTTAATTGCAGATAGCTTTTTTAAAATTAACTAGTAGTTAATAGTTTAGGTTAAAGGTATCCAATGAAAGATGTTCGGTAACTAACAATGTCAATATAAACAAGCAAAAATTTAACCCTGATCTGACTTATAGAGGTAAAGAGGTATATAGGTAATCCGAATGCGAAGTTGTAGGGCAAAGTGTACATTATAAAAGGTTTTGGGGAATAAGGAAATTGTAAATGTTTATCCCTTTGTAAAACATTTTCCTGTGCCGTATATATTTTTGCACAAGGTTTATGCCCAATACCTCTCCGTCAGCGGAAATGATAAAAAAATACCTTGACGCATTTTTACAGAATGGGTCGTTACAAATGTCGATTTATGTAAAAACCGAAGGTAAAAACAATGAGCAATATTGTTTTTTTACATTATAGTACCATTTTGAATTTCGTGGACTACGTATATAAAACTAGCTATAGCTCGCGACATCGCCCGCGTGAAATTAAGAAATATAGCCTATGTTACTCACAGATAAATTACTTTTCTAATGGTAAAAGATTTTTTGAAATCGGCCCAGTAGTTTTTACATGAATCGAATACATAAATCCAAAAATCCAAATCCTTTTCCTCTTTATATTAGTAAAGAGGAAACGTAATGTCGCACAATAATATTTGTTTTCTAGCAAAAGTTTGTAGGTATCTGAATATTCTTACCGGTTAGGAACGCGCAAGAAATATAGAGGACTTTGTTTTTGAGTTTGGAATATTAAAATGCGATAAAGTAGACGTTTGAATTGGACTTCGCTCTGAATGCCAAGGATTAAATTCTAGTGACCTCGTAATGCAGTCTCCTTTGTTTGGTTCATAGTGAAACGGCTCACGGTTTATTTCATAATAACAAAGGTCGGGATGAAATATTTAACACACTGCACTATCTATTATTTTTTATCTACGTATTTAGCAATGAAATTATTGTATAAAACTGTGTACACTTAAATTCGTTATATTGTTAGAAATAAAATTAATTTAAAAAATTCTGTATTTTATTTTAAAACTATGTAACAAAAAAAATAGTTAATGTTCATAATTTTATCATTGGTCGTGGATATTACATGATAATACAAACTTCCGCTAGTTAAAGGTTAATTAATAGCTACAACTCTATCTACATAATAAGATAGAAAAGTACACTTTAATAAAAAAGAATAATTTTCATGTGAAGATTAGACAATCGGTTACTAGAGAAAAAATATTAAAGGCCTGTCCCTCCACTGACTGATTGAGGCTCAGATAGTTTAAAAGACAAGTAGAAGTAGACAAAGAGTAAGTATATGTTGGATTGTAATCTGACAATTTACAACAATTGTGAGACAGGCTCTGAATATTTGTATCCTTTCGTATATTGAATTAAAGAAAAACAAACGATATAGACGGAACACGATTGCCGTATTGCGTCATCGGAGGTGTGTACCAAAAGGTTAACGGATCTGATTCTCAATAATAATACTTATTGTATTGTTATTAAGAGATAAATTTAGATTGTGCAATACTTTATCAAATGAACATTGAACTTATTGTTTACAGTATGGGGGCTCGACTTCGATACATTTATCAACAGTGATAGTAATATGCTAAGGAAATATTTGCGACTCTAATCAATTGACGCAAACAAATCTAATACACATTTCGAATTTAAAACTGTTTCAATATATTTTTCGACTATCGTTTTGTAACATTATGGTGGTTTGGACTTTCTAATGTGAATGTTTTTATAGTTGAAATATTTTTACTATAATATACTAATATCAAAAAGAGGAAAGATTTGTATTTTTGTATGTATTGAAATAAGAAAAAAACTACTGGACCGATTTCAAAAATTCTTTCACCATTAAAAAGCTACGGTATCAGCGAGTTTCATAGGCTTTTTTTTATTTCATGTGGCCGAAGTCGCAAGCAACAGCTAGTTATATAATATGATTTGCTTTAAGTTTTATCGTTCTATTGATTACATGTAGGTAAATAATCTGAAATCGCGGATGTCTATGAGCAGTGATATTTGCTATTTTGGCTAGTTTAAGTGGTACAAGTAACGAGAAGGTTAGTTATGAGTGTGAGGAGGGGGTAGGGGGAGGTGATGTGTACTCACGTGTATGCCGGGGCTGACGAGGTGCGAGATCTTTTCGCACATGAGGGTGTGGAAGTGCGGGTGGAAACGGTAGACGGAGCCATCGATGCCGACGGTGACGCGCGGCTCCGCCATCTTGTTGAGCAGCGTGGCGATGCCGGCCGACACGAGGTGCGCCGCGCGCCGCGACACGCTCTCGCACACGTGCCGCACGCCGGCCATGTCCGCCTCGGACGCGTGCGACAGACCTACATGCATTAGCATATCACTTACTAGCTTCCCGTGCGACATTACCCGCATTAAGCAATGAAAATTATATTTCATTCTATACATTTATCAAATTATAGTTTTTAATTTAGTAGTAAATATTAAGTAACGTGTTTAATATAATTGACACGATTTTTAAGAGCGTGTTTGAGTTTCTTAATCAAATTCACATCGGTGATGCAAACCATAAAGTACTGTGTATTTATTTTTATTATAATTCATTATAATTGACGTATCAACATTTAATTGACCTTTATACATGTTTTGCCAATGAAATGTAAATATTTTGTTTAATGAATGAAGTGTGTACAATGATATCAGTATTTTTGTTTTTCATTAGTACGAGTAGTTTGACCTTAAATCCAGTTTTAACTTCATCATACCCGGATTTTTCATTTGTTTTTTATGTAGACATAGACTATAGTAGATTTTCAGAATGTCTTGTGTTATAACAAAATGTGTAGCGGTTCGTGACCAACTGTAAGTGCTTATATTCGCAGATATGTGTTAGATTAGTCAACTGTAGATGGGAAAAATAACACAGGGTTGTGGTTTGACGTAAAAGGATGCGCATTTTACATTTTGCTAATATCTTAAATTTTTTGAGGATCGTTTTGTAATTGCTAGCCTCGAAAAAATTTGAATGGCAGTATACCCGTTGAAACATTATGTCTATTTGAAAAATAAATATTTCTTTACCAATGTGATGTAATAAAGTGCGTATAAGATTACGTTGAAATCATTACGTAATCGTACAGTATTGTTGACGATAGCGTTTCGAAACAAATTCTGTATTGCGCTTAATCAACAAATATGTTAAAACGCGTATTATGCATTATTATTACTATCCAAAACATCTTAACATCACATAAAGCGTTTTAAATACTTTATTTGCACTAGAGTTTAATTACTTTTTTACTGCATTTAGGCCTATCCCACCACTGGCTAATAGACTCAGATAGCTTAAAAATGACGTCACTGTCAGATAAGGTAACATAATCCGATATTGCAACATATATTTTACATGTTGCATTGTTATCTGAAAATTTACAATTTTGTGGGACAGGCCCTTGAAATACAATTTCCGAAATATCTTATTTTATTGATATTTTTTTTTATTCGATATCTTACTGATTTAACATGTAAATTCTTAATTGGAACGAATTGTATGTTGAACCGTAAAATATTATTACTGTGTTAATAAGAGATGTTTGTTTTAGTTTTCCGATAAAAGAGTATTTTATATCTTACCCAGTTCTTCAAGCACTTCCATACAGCTGGTGTAGTCTCCCAGCTTGTCTGATTCAATCTCAGAGACATATTTGGTATAGAAGCTGCCTCTCTCGAACAGCAGCTCAGAGCCCTGTCCTCCGAACAGCAGACCCATGCGTGTGAACTTCACCAGCGCCAGACGGACCAGCTCGCCCATATACATGCCGGATATCATCTTCTCTTGGCTGAAATCATTACCTCACTATACATCCTCACCTGGGTTTGACTAAATTAAGTTAGGGGTAGTACTAGTAAACCATGCTGGACTTATAGGTTGAGTTTAAACATATCTTTGAATTTTTTTACAGTCATGCATATTTTTGATGTATTCCATCACCGTAAGTACATCGGGTGTACATCAACTTTTGAAATCCAACATCGGTTGGTGAGATTCAAACGAATTTGAAATCCAACGAGAACGAATTCGAAATACCCAGAATCAAAACCATCGATCATTTTCAATCTTATCAAAATCAATTCGCGTTAATTGTCATGTTATTTCAATAATCTAGTAATTTTAAGTACTAAATGGAAACACACTTTTTTAACTCATACATTTCACTAGTTTTATCATATCTGAAGCTAGTATCTATTTGTCCTTAAAGTCATGATTAACAACAATAGTTTTGCAATGCTAATTTGATTAAAAAAAAACATTTAAACGTATTTGGGCTCTTTTATGCATTTTTATCGGAAATTAACTAAAAGGCCTATATAATGCTGATATTTAATTGCTCATATGTATTTTTTTAAACTATTCTAATAAAGGAAACTTATTCTTTAAAATTTACAATAATTGCTTAGTATTACGCTGATAAATTATAACGGTGTTTGTGAATAAAATTAAATTTAGCATACATATCGTAAAAATTAACAACTACTTTTAATTCATCAGTTTAAACTGAACAGTCGATCTGTTGAGTTGTACATGTGTAACCGAAACAGACCTGTACAATTTAACTGATAGTTAATCTGTCGTGTACGTTTCTGTAAAGTTAAAAACATAATTGAACTGTGCAATTTTTTTTGTTTGTCAGTTAAAGTGATTTGTTTAATCACTGTTATCATTACTATTGCAGACATTCTCGGTGTAGTCAATTACGATAAGCAATCTTATCATCAGCAAATTTTTGCTAAGATGACGCACTAAATGATGAAATACATTGTAGAATCTTTGCCATATAATATGACAATGCAATAAACATGAAAAGGGTGTGGGATAAGAAACTGTCTATGATCAATTTACTTAAAGAGTACTGCCTTGTAGGATTGCCGCAACACTATATGGGCATAGACGTCCCTTCCCTATCTGACAGCTGTCAATGTCATTCAGACGTATTGGAATAGCGGGAGATCCTGGCATAGTAGGTCTGAGTGTTTAATCACGCTAGAATCACTTACATTTGTTTCCCAGGGTTGATGGAGTTAACATCGACCTCTCTGTCGAACTCCGTACGCACGAAGTCTAACGAGCCGTCGTCACCGAAGGCGCCCCACTCCGTGTTGATGAGCAGCTCCGACTTGCCCGGCTCGCCGTCAAATAACTCACAATTCTCCGTTTTCTCAACATAACACGCGTTACTGCCGGTACCTACATACAATAATATATTTTTCTGTACATAGAAATAACTCAGAAACTACTGGGCTGATTTCAAAAATTCTTTCACCATTAGGAAGGTAATTTATCTGTGGGTAATTTTTTTTTAACTTCGTATAATAACAACAACAATAAGATTTGGTTTCTTATGAGATCAAGACGAAACTAGTTACATCTGTTATAGGATTACTTTAAGAATTTCAAATCTCTAAATCGGATCATAGTGAGTAGGTTTCAGAGTTTTCTAAATTACATTGAAGATATGACAAAATAGCAATAACATGCAGCATGCAATAAAAAGGTTACATATGAATAAAATTGTTAACATATGTATGAGTTTTTAAAGTGATGAATACATAATGAAGGAAGAAAAGGATTTATCTATTTGCGTAAAAATTATAAAACTACTTGCGACAAAGATTGTTAGTTATTTAATAGTTTACAAGACTTAAACGGTGACTACTCATTTTATAATTATAGTCATGTTTATACCATATATTAAAATACGAGATTATTTCATAAATCACTATAAATAAAGATCTTACAAAAGAAGTGTTCTTCACTTGTTATTTTACAATTTAAGGAGAACAAAATACATAAAGCATAATATTTTTAAAGGATATTTCAAACGAAAATGGTACTTACCACAGTCACAATAAGGACTAGTGAAAATAGACATACGATATGTTCGATTTCAAAGGTTACATAATCAAATGAAATTTTAAAATGTTATCTTACACCTCGTATGATGAAACGATAGATTAACGTGGACAAGCAAGTTAAGTGCACACAAAAACCGACATAATCAATTATAGACCTACCAACAATGAGTCCTATTTTGCAGTTGTGATTTTTCCACGCACAAGACATCAATGTGCCCGTTGTGTCATTGAGTATAGCGCATATATCGATCTGTACGTCCTACAAGAGTGAGAAAACATGCGGTTTTAATAAGAAATAGTCGTTATTCCAGTCCCTACGATATGACACACCCGCGATATGTTGATGATGATCATAGAGGAATTCAATATGGAAGCAAATCATGTTCAAAAATCGTATCCATATTTAGCTTTCTACTTTTTAATATAAAAAAATACATGAACATTTAAATAAGAAATAGATTAAAAATATAGGTAAATATACCTTATTTAATCATACGATAATAAAAAAACGACGTATTGTTATTTTATTTTCTTTATAAATCGAATTGATTGCGATTACTACTAGCGAAGTTAACTCTATAAAAACGATACATTTCAAGAACAAATATTTCAAGGTTAAAATCGTAAAACCAGTTGGATATTTAAATTTCTAAGAAACAAGAGAGATTTATTAGAAAAAAAATGTTTTTAAACATGATATGCTTTGCTTAAAATTGAAAACCTCTATTGGCTCTCATATCGGCTCCATATAACATGCCTTATGCTAGAAGAGAGCGACTATCATCGTCAACTCACCGATTATAATTCCTATGCGACAATAGGGGTCCTTATGCGCACACGACATAAGAGCCCCGCTTGCATCGTTAAGAATGCCCATCACGGACAACGAAAGATCCTGCAAAAATTTCGACCCCCTTATTTCCAAAATGTCCATATTATGTATCAAGAAAAGATAAAAATTCCATTACGAAAGTGATTCTTTGAGAAAACAACATTAAAGTTTCATAGGTTACAAATAAATATTTCGCTCAGTTTATTTAAAGGCACTGAAATCTACGTACCATTCCTGACATTAATATTTTAAATAGATTGCTTCTGGTAATGGAATAATTCGTAGATATTAGGGCCTATACAAGAATACTAAATAATTGATCTTCAACTACCCGGCGGTTAATTCGGCTTTCCAATAAATCAAATACCAGGTATAGAAATATTCAAATATCTTAGCGGCTCGAAACACAATGTTAGGGCAAGGCGGGCACAACGGCCCACAGATAACTTAGAGCCTTTGAGATATTTGACATGACCTTTACTATGTAATGAACACATCAAATGCTACTACGTTTTTTTAAGTTAATGACACTGGAGGTGTTAAGAACAAGTTAAACGTACCCCTCGTCTCGCTATAGCATCTTTAAGGCCTTGAACAACGTCTTCTCCGACCACACCACTGCATGAGAATCCTTTGGTCCAGCGCTGGAGGATTCCTTTAGTCAGCCCAAGCTGCTTTAGCGGGAAGCTGAATGTGAAACCCAGGGCTAGGCGCTCCTCGTACACGTTGTGTTCCTTAAAAATAATAGTAAAATGCTACAATACACGGGACAACTGTCTAGTCTAGTGTTAATTAGATATGAAAATTACTACTAAAAAGATTATTCTGATGGTAACTGAACGAGATTACTGGCTGGAGATGATAACGGAGTATAGGCAATTATATTCAATTAAATTTAAAAAAATGACGATCAAAAATTAACTTAAAATATGAAAATATTATTTTAAGTATTACTGAGTGTTTACCTTCATAAAATTAGCCAGACATTCAGCGATGTGATCAAACAGCGCCACACCAGTACCGGTCATTATGTGGTTGGGTATGGCGTAAATCTTCGACTGCATATCAAAGTGATTCTCACCAAGGTTTATTATTAAAACTCTAAAATTTGTACCACCTAAATCTAACGCCAAAAATTTACCTCGTTCTGAAAAGAAATCAATATACGATATAGTGATTATCGATAGAAAAACGTTCCGAAAAGTAACCTTATAAGAAAATATGTCATAATTAACAAAAAAATAGTTTTAAAGTAATTTTGTACGTTAGTCGAATATGTATAGTAAACCAACGTACTAAAGCTTGAGATTATTCTTCTCACAAAAATCGAATTAAAAAAATTTTAGACAGACCATTTCTACTTGATAACGGTACAAAATAAAAGAAAAAAAATATGTAGGTATTATAACAAATAATGCACAGTTGCCACAAACGTAAATTTTCCTCCTAAAGCATATTATTATCCACCTCATTCTTGCAATGACTAAACAAAACTGTAGATTGTTCTATCTAGTATTTCTTTTTTGTATTTTCATGATTACTATATTTATGGGTGTGTGTCTATTGTGCATTTCCAGTAATAAAGTATAAAATTTGCTAAAAAAAAGTATGCGTATTTTGATAAAGATAATGTAATATTTATTTGGTCTCATTTTCAAGTAGGCCTCGGCGGGCAGGAAGTCGTAAATATTTCCGAGGTCGTTGTGAAATTAGTTGTTCATTTATACGAAATTACCTTTGCCATTTGGTAAATCCTGTATATATGTTATCCAGCATTTGACGATGGATGTGGCGTGACTGTCTTTGCCGAGTCCTTTGAGCAGATCGTTGTGTAGTCTGCTCATTATCTCCCTGATCTGTTTATCCGTGAGGTGAAAGACCTCGCATTCTTCGCGGATCTGTGTAATCAGAAAATAATGGTTACCATTTTAATATTATGGATGGTTTACATATTCAAGGTTTCAAAAAATGAAATTCATTAAAAAGCAACTACTAACATTTCGCGAATTAATTGAAATATTTGTAATACATTTCTATAATTATTTTATTTATTATTACAGTGAAACCAATTGGTCAATCGACAGTTAAGGTTGAGTAAAAGGAAGGTTAAAGTAACAGTTTTGTCTTTGTAAAAACATGTTAATTAAATCGAAATTGTTGTTTCATTAGCAAGGTATATAGCATGTTAATTAAATTGGCCGAAAAATTATTTGAACTCTAGTTTTCTCACTTTACTTACAGAATGTATGTAAACATTTTTAGGTTGCCGACGGTTGGTATATAACGAGAAGAACAAATACATAATAAGAATGTTAAGACAGTCTAAACAAATGCAATTTCCTTGCGGATAAACTAGCCATAGCGGGCAAATCGTCTATTATCGCGTACGAGTTCTGAAGGTCAAAGCGGTCATTACAAACTCTCTACTACACATTGCTTATGGTTGCTTTCCCATCAATATTAAACCGGCAAACACTTGAAGAAAAAATTATGTAACAATACGTTATAAAGTACTCACCTGTGGTAAATTATTAACAGCCATACCCATTTTGATTTTTGGATTAAAAAAAAATGATACGTGTTTTATATACGCAACACGTTTTGTCGTGTACAACGCGAGCACGACTAACCGAATCAACTACAAAATGAGGAATACGAAAAGAGCGGCGTTGCGCTGACCGTCGCACTCGAACGTGTTTCAAACTGAACTGACTAATGCGCATGTTTCATTCATAATAAACTGTTGTCATCCCTCTCATATGCACCGGCAAGGTATGTGCAAGAGTAGCGTAGCTAGTGACTCTAACTAAAATAACGGAATTATATTAGAATATCTCATCTATCGTTTCTATTAACCTTTCTAATAAGAATTTGCTTTCTGTAATTTTAAGGTACAGTTGTTATGAATTTTTGGGTACTACAGATTGAAGTATATCAGTACGTAATCCGTATCTGTAGTTCAGGCGCGCCTCTTGGTGTATGGATGTGATTGGCTGACGCGTGGGCTTGTTTCTGACGTCAGTAGAATTCCTCGAGCTCGAGTCGACGTTTTCTATATTTACAATTGCATCGGTGTGGGGCCAAATAATGATGTATTGTTTTCCGACTTTAAAATGTTTTATCGACACGAACCTGCATATTATTTGTTTGAAAATTTAAAAATAAACCGATTGGATTTTCGCAATGATCAGAAGACACAATTTTTTATTTATGCATTGAGTTGCAGTGTTACAAGTGCCAGTAAAAGAAAGAGGAGTTTTCAATTTTCAAATATGAAACATACTTTTTCACCGAGGACTTGATTACATTAGACATAATACTTTAATTAAAAAGGGCCTTCCCATCAATTTGTAAATTGTCTGATAACAATCGAACGTGTAAAAAATGTGATGGAAATATCGGGTTTTGTTCCCTTATATGGAAATGACGTCGTTTTTGAGCTATCTGAGCCTCTACCAGCCAGTGGTGGGATAGGCCCTAAAAATTGAATTTTTATATCCATTTGTTACGTCAACATGTAGTCTAAATTCAGTAAACGTGAGCAGGAAATTGTCTATTTTAATTACGTAAAACATTGAACGCTGGTAAGAATTTTCGTAAGTAAACGTGCCGGCGCAGGTTACTCGGTATGCATTATGCACGGGAAACCAGTCAGACCATACTGAGTTAGACAGGATGCAATGACCTGTGACGTCAAGGCCAGCATGTCATTTACTCCAAGAATCAATGCGGCATAAGTCTGTATTACTTATCTAGTTTGGCTGTCCTAGGAAATAGCTAATTGACTTCGCATACTTTAAAACATTGTAATTGTAATCGAATCCAAGAGATGCAAAAACAGGATAAACTGACATCGAAAAAGTCGAGGTTCTTACTAATTCATCTGTGTTTGTATTAACAAAGCCAGAATATTGGCTCGATGTGCTGATGCCACAACCCTTAATAAAACTAGAATAGTGATCGTGTTTTAAAATGTACAAACGTAAAAATTATTGTAATGCAAGTAGGTGGGTACCAATTGAATTTTAATCATTTATTGCGCAATAACAGAAAATCAATATCAATAAAGTTTATGGTCTGTATCGATAGAAACTACCTCTGTTTGTGAATCAGAAATGGCGATATGCAAAGTTTTATTTTCGTACAACTCGTGCGGAGGACTAACGCACTTCGGAACACTTTCTTGGCATTGTTCCTTGTACGTGTTGTTTATTTTCGTTCGTCTCGTGATAGCGACGATATTTAAAAATTTACACAACCAAAACCTTTACTTTCAAAATCGATCACTTCATTATCTTAATCTATGTTTGTTGTTAATTTCTTTGTCAGTGCTGCTAGTTAAAAGCTACAAACTCTCCCTGCGTGTTTACTTTAATATGGAGATTCTCAAAACTTTTTATCTCGTGGAAATCTACCAAAATTTGGCTAGCTTCAGTGAACCTTACGCCACTCAATTATATCTTCAACTTGTGGATTCTCTGCCTTATTTTCGTTAATCGTGCACCTTTGGCAGATGTTTGAGAACCACTTTAGTAATCACTGCTTCAAATATACTTCATCTTACTTCTTACTTATATTATAAATGCGAAAGTTTAGATGGATGGGTTGGATGTAGCCTAAACCACTGAACGGATCTCTATGAAATTTGGCATAGATGTAGAGGATAGCCTGGAAGAACACATAGGCTACTAACTTTTTTTTTAATTCTGCACGGACGCAGTCGCGGGCGTATTCTAGTACTATAATACATAAGACATACATAAATCGTTGTGACGTTAATGAAAGTTCTAAGGTCTACAGACGTTGAAAGTAGTGTTTGATGAAAATATTCACAAGGTTACTGTTTTTAATAAATGATTGTATAGATTGAAAACACTAAACTAAATCAGTGTTTAAACGGCTTTAAACTTCAAGAAAGTATTGATAATAAAGGTATTAAAACTGCTTATGTTTACAGCAGGAAAACGTACGCATTAACCTGGGATTCCCCACAACCACAATAACCAAACAACGAAGACAAAATATAATACTATTTCGAAGTCCTACGTAGATCCTAAATATGACGTGCGTGTTTTTTAAACTTAAAGTGTTGTTTATGTACGTTGTCTAATAAACTTAATACAATTAAGTAAACGCAAATGTTTCTACCTTCAATTAATTGCAAAATCTAAAGATTATAAAAATTTAATTCGTGAAATAGCAGACATTTCCGAAATCTATTGTCAGCAGACAGAATTATCGCACTACTTTAAGTTCGAGTATGTAGATAAAAACAGCGAATCGCTTTTTAGATATCGTTTATTTGCGTGCATTCACTGATAAATCACTATCTCTATAGGCAATCAATTATAAACTTTCCATTGCAATTATTGCTAAGAGGATGAGGTTAATAAAAGAATGAGAATGATTATTGGATAAAAGTGTCTTCTCTCGTTTATCTTTTAGGTAAAATGATGGAGCACATAGATTTATAAGCTATAGATGCCTAGGATAGAGGTGAGAATTTCCCAATAAGAGGTTTCCGGAGGTCGTGGAAGGAAATTGCGTCAGTGTTGTCATTTACAATACGTTTGAATATCGAACCCAGATTAGACAAACTTGTATGAAACAATCTACGTATAGATTGACCAGCATATCGTTTATTTAAGACTGTCTTTTTCAGAATCGTTTAATATTTATCTCTTAGTGTAGATTATAACATTGCTAAGACGTAAAATTAAGAGTAACGCTTACTAGTCAACATTTTTTTTGATATATAATAATTACAATGCAGTAAACAAGTTTTTTTAGTTTGTAACAAAACAAACTATAAGCGATATCTACATCGTGCAATAGATCTTTGCGCTTCACAACTTATTTATTTAAATACTTTTATTACAACATGGATAAAGTCATGATTTCTGTATTAATATCAGTAAAAACGTGGTTGTTAAATTATCAAATCGTTTAAACCACTGGTTATATCCAGTTTAAATGTATTATGTCGTTTTTGACATAACGAATTATACTAGGTTAAAGCGAGTTTCCGTGTAGGTATTTGTTTATTTTAATTTTGAAATGTCAAACTTCCAATCTGTGGACATTGTTTGGATTTCAAAATGCCATATTATTTACTAGGAAATGGTTTTGGTTAATATAAAAAATATCGTCTGTCATCCTCTAACCTTAATTTAACGTGGCCCTATGGATTTCAGAACATAGAGATTTGTAGTTACAAGCATACTTGACTGATTGACATCGTGTTGTGCCATTTCATTCAAGTGTATTTTATTTTTAGATAAAATGGAGGTACTTTGAAAACAAATTACTAAATCACCAATATTGGACATTGATTGGATTAAAATGTTTCTAATTGCAAAGTTATTATCATTATATGTATAAATTTGGTCAATCATTGATCGCATTGGCATAATTACATTAGAGAAGTTAGCGTATATTCAAGGTAGCAGACATAATGTGTGTGATTTACACCTTTGTGTGAATTACTACATTTATAACAATATAATGTATGTTAAGATATAACTAACTTCTGTTGGAAATTTTTCGTAAACCTACTAGATACTAGTTTTAGCAAATATTTGATATTACGATACTCACGATGTCTCTCGCTTGACGCATATCGATTCGTCTTGTTGGTCGCGACGACCGAGATAACAGATGATGAACAAGTAGCGTCGGCGTCCACAGGGTGCTGTCATAAATTCCACCTGGCAAAGACACGGCCGATATCCGCATTCACACGAATACCGGTATATCCGAGACCGTTTGATCGTGTACAAGTGAAAGGAACCGATTAACGTGCGGCGGCGCGGCGTCGGGCACTTGCACGGCGAGCACAGGGTCACCTTGAGACGACGCGGTCGCGGCGCATGTGCACCACACCCTCCGCTCCGGCCGCTACCCGCCTCGCGCCCCGCGCCCCGCGGCCCTTACGCCATGTGACGTCACGCCCGGCCCCCGAACCGAAACGGGCGCGGCGCGACGCGATCTTGCCGTTCACGTGATGGCCTTCACGCAATCCCCGTTCAAATAACGCAACAGCTGTAAATGACTTATGAAATGCACCGATTGAAATACCTATACTTACTTTCAAATTATTTTTAAATCTTTAAAGTATGCTAGAAGTGCCCACGTTAATTTAAAACTAAGTACTTACAAGAAGAGCTACTAATGTCAAATAAAGTAGGTAGTATTGTATTATTTGTGTCCTACCTCACGAATCTTACCAATATTGTAAATGCGAAAGTTTAGATAGATTGATAGATAGATGGATGTTTATTAGAGTTTGTAGCGTAAACTGTAGAACGGATCTCGGTGAAATTTGTCATAGATGGAGATAATAGTCTAACACATAGATATACATTTGTTTTAAATAATCGTGCACAGACGAAGTCGCGGGCAAAAACTCGTGCATAATAAAATGTCTTGCAGGTAGGTGATTTTAGTTTCATCTTTTAATTTATTTTAAGGATCAAAAACTACAACTTAACATTCAGTGAATAGGAAATTCAGCCAACCGCATATATTACTATTACTAGTTCTCGCCCGCGACTCCGTCCGCGTGGAATTAAAAACCAAAGGCGAGTAGTTTATGTGTTCTTCCAGATTGTCTACGTCTATGCCAAAATTCATCGAAATCCGTTCATCAGTTGAGGCTACAAACTCGAACATCCCTCCATTCATCTACACTTTCGCATTTATAATATTAGTATGATTAAACGATTTCAAGTTAATAATCATTGCTATAGTATTGTGACACGAGATACAGTATATTTTGCGTAGTCACAGAGGCTTTGGCTTCTAAGAAAAGGTTACTTGCAGCCAAACGTTCGAGTATATTTGGATTGGGTGAAGTGAGGTGTGTCACTGCCGACGTGCCTCTGTACATGTTTTGTGATGCCTGATACCGTGCACGTGTACCGTAACCAAATAAGACTTACACAACGTTTCTTTAAATACGTGCTTTCATTTTATTTCTTACCTTACATTTTAAACTACGATTAAACTCAATATCGTTGCTGTTTTAACCTTGTACCAATTTTACATAGTTATTGTTCTACAACCCAACCGGTTTAGGTGGAAAATCGATAATTCTCTTTCCTTTTAATCCATTACGAATTGAAATATAACGTTGTTTTTATTTCAAACAATACAAAAGAAAGTAATCAATAGATTACACTCAAATTTTGCGATGTCAGTCCAATACAGTGACAAAAACAGAGAAAGTTGAGTTCTGGCATGTCCAGACAGTAGACAGTCTAGATATGGCCTGCGTTAATAAATATAACGAAGTTATCGAAGTCGTACAAAAACGTAGATACGGCATTTGCGTTTATTTTTCATGAAATAACAAACATCATTTTAGTTTAAAAATACTAAATTAAAAAAACCATGTGTGATGAAATGTCGAACCAAGGAGTCATTTTACAAATGAATTCGTTCGTAATACGAATTTCCAATTTGTTTTTGCAAATTATTTTCGGACGGCATTCTCAGTTTGTCGGTGACATAAAATATTGGAAATAAAAACTTCTGCATCTTGTTCTTGGGTTCCTGCTACAATTTTTCTTTCTATATATTGTGGAGGCATTTTATTAGTACAATTTACCTCATAGTCCGCAACGGTACGGTAATTGATTGTTATCAAATTATGAGTTTATTAGTTGATTAAACTATTGTTGCCAATAATATAAACCCTATCATAAAAAGATAAATAATTATTACTCATCGATGTCACATTCGGGGCTTTACTAAAGTGCTTTGTCCTTTCACTAATTTGTATTTAAAACCAACCAATCTAATATAAAAATAATCGTGTATTCCCATCTCAATAGTAAGTATACACCAACAATAGGTTATTCTTAATTTTATTTTCATTACGTTCTAAGTCGACTTTATAAGATGACGTAACAACATAGGTAAAGATTTATGCGTTCCTCTTTCTCTTATAACTTTTTCTTTGAAGAAATATTATTATGCATTTATCTAGAAAATGGAATGAGTCACAACAAAGTTACTGAAAGGACGTTAATATAATTATAATAACGTAATTAAATTAAACAAAAGTTCCCGCCTCCCGTCAGAATGGCGCGCTTATATAATACGTCAGAATGACATTGACAGATGTCAGATAGGGACGAACGTATATGCCAATAATCTAGTGTTGCGCCAATCCTCCAGAACAGTAAGTACTGATTTTTTCTTAACACTACGATTTATCTATACGGATTAAATATTGGTTATGTTGCGTGTAACATTGAATACTGAGTTAAACATAAGCGACTTATACAGGAAACTACGTAAGGGAAACTGTTGGGTGCATTATAGCCCTTGCTAAAGGTCACTACTCACTACGAAATAAAATAATCACGAGTAAACGTCATAGTCCGTGATTCATTTGGGTTTAAATGCACTAAATTATTTGTCCTGCGAATTAGATTGTTATTGACGTAAGCGCATATGCGTCTTAAACATATAAATTGTCCTGTAAATCCAATTGTCTCTATCAACTTTAATAAATTCTGAGAATCATGAGTCGTACCGCAGATAATACAATGCTATATTCTGTGTGTGCAAGTGTGTGTACAACTTGTGTGCAACTAGTGTGCAATATTGTATGTAAACTGAGATGTGCGTTCTGTGAATGAGATCATCTCAATCAATTCTAATTTATTATCCGATCCACGTTCTTATGTTCTGTATATTTCATAGCAACATATACATAAATCTCTTATCTATATTATTATAATAAAGCGTAAACTCACACTTCTTTGTTGCCTAAGATGTCAGCAATTACAGCATATTTTTTAACAATTATTTTTTAATAAACAGCCCTACACTTACGTCACGCTTTAGGCTATATATTTTCTCGACATTAAACTTAGGGGTAAACATTTTGGATAAAAACCCTAATGTGGAAAAGAGACCATAAGTTGTTACCATCATCAAGAAAGCAAGATTGCCGAGGTTTGTCATGTCATGTCATTTTGACATTTGCTATTGACAATTTGTCAAATGTAAACAATAAAATTAAATTTACAGCTACTCATTCATATTTTACGTGGACACGGTGACATGAACGGAAACCGGCGTAAAATTAAAAAACCCGCCCTTTTGCTCGAGGGGTAAGTTGACCTAAAGTTATAGTTACCTAAACTATTTTCTTTACTACTTTTTTTTTCGAAGTAAAATACCTAAATAGTTGTGTAAATTCAAAGTGCATTCACCTTTTATGACATACGTTTTTACATGTAATAAAATTGTAGAATACGCGTATTCATCATTACGTTTTATTTAATTTGTCCAATATAATATTTACCTGATGCTAACATAAGTCTATATGAGCACGTGATTTTTTTCTACATAGAGATATCACGTGTCAATGAAGGTAACAAAATAGTAGATGAATGATTCATGAAATTATTTACGTTAATGCATTTATTTGCGACTGCGATTGTTGTTTATTTTTTTTATTATAACAAACACGATTGTTTTTTTTTTAAAATTGACAATTACATTGTGAATTAGTGGTTTATGCACTTTACTATCTAAATTTTATTATTATCTACCATTATATTATATAATATTTACCATTCATTCAGGTTTATTCACAGTGTTATCTATTTCCATATAATTATGTTAGTTCTATCGTGGTTGGAGATTTTTAAAAATAAATAATCTAAACTACAATATTTGTAAAAAAAAAGTTACAACGTACGTAATGAGCAGACCATATTGAACGCCTCGAAACATTACAATTTCCTCAAGCTATCTGGGGATTTACGGTTCTAGTTTACACGTGCGTAATGCATACTGAAGTAAATACGAAGTAGGGTAACCATGATCGATAAAAAACATTGTAAAAAAAGAAAACAGTTTTAATGAGTTCATATCAAAGATAAGCAGTTAAAATTAAAAAATGATAATAGATATAAAGTGTCAATTGTCAGGAAAACACGATATACCAGCATTTACAACACAAGGTATTTCGAAAGGTTATGGACATTCACAACAGGCAAGCAATGAAGACACCACAATAACCTTGTAATATAGGTATTTTTTATAATAAATTGCTGGTAATTTATGAAAATCTTAAAGAACGTAATTACGTGTAAACATAACGGATTTTCAAGGGCAATATTCAAAAACGAAAAACAAACATTGTAAGTTACAATTTGTAACTGGTTCAAGCACATCGAAAATTCCCTTTACTCTTGACAATTTTATATTTCTCATACCTTTGGTATTAGTGTTTTCTTTGAACGAGGTTGCATACATTTCAAACTAGGACAAATCCAAGACAGGCCAGTCGTGCCGCCACCCTATAAAAACGTGTGCTCAAGAGTTTTTAATTTGTTACATTCTCATTATTGACAGTTCGCGTGTCTGTGTGTTTTAATTCAGACAATACGTTGAAAAAAAATGTCGTGTGTTACTTATTATCTATAATTATCATCACAATTACATTTATTTTATTTTTTATATACAGTTGCTTTTTCATTTTTTATTACTTAACTAGATAGAATTAATCGAAATGTGTCGTTTTCTTGAATTACACTAATTTTAAAAATACGATTGTAAATATATTTTTTTATAAATAAATTAAATTTAAACATTATAATATAATGCTTGTGTTTAAACTGTGATCTGATAAAGGCTTTAATGTTGTAATAAAAATTTATATTGCACTGCGCTGTAATTGATTAATAGATTTTTTTTAAATACTTAGGTAAAATATTTTCGTGCTAGCGTTTACTGCTGTACTTCGTAGTTTTTAATTTTTATAATTTTTATTACATGTTATACAAACAGTTAGCAATATTTTCTTATTTAGAGGTCATTGTCAACATCTTACATAACTT